TGTGTTTTTATATTTTTATTACATTTCCGTTTCCTTCTAGAACCTGATGCAAAGGCTATGTTGAACGCTGCCGAAGAGGGAAACCTGGAAAATATTAAGAATTTATTGAATAAAAACCGCCACTTACTCAATTGTACCGATAAGGATGGCTATACTCCGCTTCACAGGGCATGTTATGGCAACAATGTGGAAGTGGTAGAGGTAAGTTTAAAACAATTATTTCCTTCTCTTAGCATCTATAAAATTATCTATTAAGTGATCCTGGCTGTTGTTCCAATAGTATCTACTTGAAGCAGGGGCTAGAATAGATGCTAAAACTCAAGATGAATGGCAACCTCTACATTCTGCATGCTGTTGGAACAACACAGAATGCGCTGAAGCCTTAATTGCAAACGGAGCAGATGTTAATGCAACAAGCAAAGGAGATCAAACACCTTTACATTTGATTTCCGCTAGTTCATACAACTCCCCTGCTCTCCAGCTTCTTCTCTTACATCCTGACACAAATCCCTACCTGGTTAACTCAAGTGGAGACACGGCAGATCAGATCGCGAGAAGGACGACCAAAAACTATCCTATGTTCGAAATAATTGAACCCTGCCTAAATGAGATTTAAGGTAAGCAGTTAAGTATTTGTATTGGATAAACGAGATACCAGTATATTTTATTGCAGTAAAGATTTATTTGATATACATATATACATATATTTGCATAGAAATATCAGCAAGAGGAATGTAAACATTGGAAAAATGAGTAATTTGTGTAAATGCATCTTTGTTGCTGTGTTTTATGTTATTCTATAAAAATTTATGTATATAAATTACATTCTTGAATAATGAGATATACAATCTATATGAATACATACGATCCAATATAAAAGTTTATATAAAAATATAATAGGGAATATATAATTAGTATAATCGTTATATCGGGAGAATCTATTAGAATAATACTTCATCGCATTGTTCATTTTTTCTTCAGTACATGTCATGATGATTATGACTGTGGATAAAAAAAGATGAGTGCGATTAACCGAAATGAACATATTAATTTTTAAGTAATAACAAAACTGAAAGAACTACATCAAATCATATTAAAAAAGGACATGAAAAAGCTACACGTTAGGATAAACATTGTGAGTGTAATATAAAACATAAAGTCATGTTTATTCTTCCAATCAAAATCTTTTTCTCGATATATAAGTTGTCTTCTCAGGTCGTCCATTTGTTTCTGTTGTTGTATCGTTTTTAAATTATTTGAATAATGAATCTACAAGTCAGTATGATGTTAAATTGACAAATTTCGGAGTGCCGTTGCTGAGACGCTTAGATCCTTCCCAAATGAGAACGGTAAAGTCTTCCGTGACTGCGTATAAATGATGCTGATCCACAGACCACGCTACAGCGATTATTGCACCACAACCTCTCACGTTATTCGAAATTTCTCTGACTAACTGCAGATCCCAACTGCTCCATAATCTATATCATCAAAAACACTTCTAATAATTGTTCTAATAATTGTAGATTTAAAATAATTAAATAATATTTTCATCGTACCTTATTATTCCGTTGTCTAAACCAGTTGCGATAACATTGACAGAAACACCCTCCGGTGCGTTACTGTAACAAAGTGCCGTTATATATCGTTTGGATAAAATGGAGCCCACAGCCCTCGCATTTATAGTGTGTACTGTCAATTCGGACTGATTGTTGGTCGCGTTGTCCTCTGATTTAGGAATGTCATAAGTAGCAGCTATATCCCCAAGTGTTTCACTAATACACAGGAGATGTATAGCATAACCTTGGTCACAGACTATTGATCTCACGTACGTTAAGCTGTTCCAAAATAAAAATACACAGATATGAAACTCATAGAAATATATAACTTCTTCTTTCTATGCTTAAATATGTAGACTTTATTTTTCTATCATATATACCTATTCAAATCCCAAATAATAATAACACTACTGCCATCGCCGGAACAAGCAATGCTAAATGTACGTGATAGAGATATCACTGTCACTCGATTGTTATGAGCTAGAAGTACTGTCGCAGATGTTGAACAGAATTCGATTTTACCCGCAATCCCTATAGTATATGCATGTACTGTGATTCTGCCTGATAAATGTCCAATCCAAAGTTGTCCGCAATCAGGAGTAGATGCCAACGTCGTAATCTAAAAAAAAAAATTGAGCATTGTATATTAAATGTTTTATTTTAGAGAAGAAATAATATTCTAATAATCTTGCTGTATTTTCTTTTTTTATTATTATTTAATTCTTGAGTCTTATTAATTATAAAATATGTGTTAAGACACTTACAGGATCAAGTCCTGAAGATTTAATTAGAGGCCTTGGCGGTTGTTCTTTCTTACATTTTAATCTAGCGATTCCATCTGTGCTGCTCCATGACGCTAATGCAACACCCAATACAGACATACCGCTTAATATGCTGCTGCCTAATAACACAAAAGAGGTTTTCATTCTACTAGATTTAAAGCTTTGAATTTTATAAGAAAACGTTACAATATACAATAATCGCGATATAAATCAATAACCTTTTTCTTTGGTGTAACCGAGAAGAAGCGTGGTATAATTAGGTAAACCAAAAACGTCACCAGTTGCCAAAGGAACTAGAGAAGCTAATGGAGTTTTGTGCTTAAGTTTCCAACACAATATAGGCTCATTACCGGGCGCGCCTACATAATTTCCCCATTTTATACCTACAATTACATCAGACAGTTGTAACATTTAATGGATTTATGTAATACATACATTTGAATTATCGCTGATATAGATTGACAGTTTAAACCATAGAATAGAAAGCTACAGGGAAGATAATTACCACTGATTCCTTCAATAACCTGCGGTATTTGATTAGATAGCGTTATATTGCCAAGATTTTGAATCATTGGATGAGAAGCTCTGAATAGTTGCGCGGGTGTTTGACCATATGTTCGTACCATGGTTTCCCAGGCCTGACGTTCTAAAGGATCGGTTATCTGTTCTACGTCGAATCCGTAATAAGTCTAAATATAAAGAATGAACTATTAATATTTAATTGCCATTAATATTTAATCATCAAAGCTATGCTGTGATAATGTAAGAATACGTACTGCGGGATGAAAAACATTTATGGCCTCTATCGCCGGTCTTCCTGTCTGTCTAAATCCAAAGACGAGATCGATCCAATATGGCAATACTTCCCTCACGATGTCGGATTCCAACGCGGCTCTATGTGCCAATATAAATAAACGCGCGTCGCCACCACACCATTTCGGTAATTCAACATCTCCAACTTTATTACCATTTTGTCGAACACCGAAATTGAATCCTGCAACATATACGAATTTACATTAACTTATGCGGACGTTATTTTTCTCAATATTAATTGCAATATACTCGAATTTACCTTCGAAGTTTAATAAAAATTCAGGTAAATAGAAAAATTCTGGTATCAGTTCCTTCACATCTGTTGTTGAATCACAACTAGTTAATCTCCATGTGGTAGCTAACGCATGGAACGTTCGGTCAGGAATATCAAAATTATTATCTAAAAGTAAAAACAAATTTATGAAAATAATTAATTTTTCAATAAATATCATTATAAAAGAATAATTTTTATAACTACCTTGATAACAAAGAAACATGCTAGTAAACGGTGGAAGCCGTACTAAAAAGTGTAATACAGTTCCAGAATTACTATAATGAGAACCATAATGGAATGGTCCTTGATTTAAGGCAATTAAATTTAATCCTTCTGTTAAAGTTTGTTTCAAGTACTGTGTAAAAGAAATTTATTAGTGATGCTAAAAACACAATAATAATAATTATTTTTAATGGCTTACATTATAATTATTTATGTAATGTTGTTCATTCTTTTTATCTTGCACAGCCATCGGTCGTTTGAAATTCCTGTAAAATATACAAGTGTATTCGCGTATATATTCGAGAATGTACATGCTGCATATTTTCCATCATTTACCGATAAATTTTCGGATTGTTTAAATCAATCTTCTCGCTGACATAGTCTGCCAAAACAAACGGAAATACGGGATACTGCATTAAGTCATTATATGAACGACCTGCCAATTTATTCAAGCAAGTTATATATTCCCAATTGGTGAGCGCGCCACTTCTCCATGAAGCTAGAGCTTCTCCTAAGTCATCGCCAGGGATTCGCCTGGGTAAATTGCAAGCGGACAATTCCGTCGCAAATTCGTCCCTTTCCTTAGATGAATTGAACGCTAAAAGATATGTTCTGCCAGTAATGAGAAAGATTTCAATGGCCCTCTCTTGCAATTGATATCTTCTTCTGTGCAATTCTCGAATATCCTCGAGACGCCAAACAGTACCACCAGCCACAGCCAAATCGAAACCACCCAATGCTATCTATAATTAATAAGAATATATAATGATTCAGAAGTTTTATTAATTAATTGTGAAATTCTAAAAATTAAAGGCTAAATGACTCACGTCCGTATGCAGTGGCGTATCGGGATTATCCGGAACGAAATACACGCATGTCTCGCTTATGAGGACTTCTCCAGCTAATTCAGCCCTAGGTGTAACAACTTTTGCCTGAGACATCTTACGTATTTTCTCACTTGTATGCAATCGTTCGATTAGAGTCGCGGTATTAGAATCTTCACGAACACTCGTAAATAAGTACGATAATGGCATCTCGATATTAGAAGACGCTATAAAATATAAAATTTAAGATTAAAAATGTGAGTTTTTCTATTAAATTTCTTTGCATGTGTTAAATGTTAATTAGGAAATTACATTCACTTAAAAGACAATCTCTGAATGCTTTCTGTAATATTTTATAATATTTATTTTGATCTGTAAATATACCTAATTTATCTTGATATTCAGGCAAAAGGAATCTCTTGTCAATATTCAAGTGACATCTCTGAAGTCTTATTCTGACTCTCGCAGGACCTTCAGTTGGATCCAATTCCCAATTTTTGGGGTAGCTTTCAGAAAAATGCCATGGCGCCCGTTCGTGGGTTATTCGTTTGGCTATGTCTCTCCATCTAGCAACTGCCTGAGCTTCTAATGCTCGCGAGTGTTTTAACTGTTCCATCAATACCTTACGCTCACGATTTTGTTCCTCCACAACCGAACGCGTTATAGTCATGGCGCTTTCGGTTAATTGCTTCGCCAGCGCATCGAATCTCTTGCCAATTCTAGCATAAAATTACATCGTTTTATTAATTTTGTAACGAAACATACGCTAATTTTCGAAATAAATATGCGTTTACCTTAAAATGGCAGGATAATTGTCGATACAAATGTCCTGATCCGGATGCATATCTCGACGTAACACAGCTAATTCGTCATTCCATACTTCAGGATTAGCTTGTTCAATCCCTTTAGCGAGATTCCATACATGCAAGGCTTCTCTCAACTCTGCACATACCCTAGCATCGGCACTCGGCATTTCATCCCGTTTTTGCAATAGATCCCAGAAGAACACAGTAAACTTTTGCTCCAACTAAACATAAATTTCGATTATATCGAGTTGAAACAAAAGTTCGTAGCACTATGAACTTTGTTTCAATATATAAGCAATTAATTGGAAAATTAAAAGTTATATATTGTATATGAAAGGAAATGGTGAGACAATAGTAAGTCATTTCAAAAACTCATATTTCAATTTTTTTACAGATAGATAATTTTATATTTTACTGTAAAATAAAATAGGGAGATATATTACACAAATTAATGTAAATACCTGTGGATGAACTTCCAGAATACACGACAAGATTTCACGAGCTCTTGGTTCTTCCATTAGAGATCTGATGGCATATATTCTCGTATTGATACTCTGATGTGGCTCTAGCAACCATACCATAATTCTAGCCGTATATTTTCTCAAAGCTGATTTGACGGACCACGTATTGCTCCAGTGATTTTTTTTCTCCAGCGGATTGCATAGTCCATGCAGAAGAATAGAAAACAGCCTTCTCGTTAGTTGCAATTCATTGATGGATGGTGATGCGTCAGCGGCCATTATAAATTCAACGGCACGTGTCACAATAATACGAAAACGATCATTCAATTCTCCCTTACTAGGTTCGCGCAGTACAGGAGATGAATTTGTATGAAGGTTCGCATAACTAGACGAACGGGATCCATGATCGCTCTGGTCACTGGACGTCGTGAGAACTGAAAGAAATTTTTTATGTGTAAATACACAAGCGCCGGAAACTTTCGCGCGCTGTAATTACCTGAGGTAAAATAAGACGCTGAAGCCAAGTAGGAAGCCGTGCTACGTAGACGGAATCCCGAAGGATTCGACATTTTAGTCGTGAGTACATCCAACTCTCCGTCGAATAATGCTACTTGAGCGTCCCTTACGATCGTGCAAGTTAAACTTGCGCGGTATCGTAACTTCTCCGATAATTCCATGTAATCGAGTATCAAGTGTAGATCTAATACCGCTTGCATTTGATGAATTCCCGGTAATTCTAAAAGCTTGGTCGCGATTGCCACGAACAGTACGTGGATGTCTCGATGAAGAGACGTCGAGGTACCTTTATGCACAGCTGCAACCAAAGCTTGTGCCAATGATTCAATCAAACCTTGCTCCAAAAGTACCCTCAATGCATTTGTATTCTGAAATAATGACAAGTAATTTGTATGGTCATATGTCAGATTCGTTATCGTGTTTTCCATTTCCAATACCTTTGCTATTATGTCAGTGATAAATGATATTATTGGTCTAGCTACATTCGAATCAGAACCTGCGGCCTTTGCAATCATTGCCATTAACGGTGGCATCGCCGCCAATGTTGGACCTCGTAGAGCTAAATTTTCTAAAGCGACAATCAACGATTCGCTTCCGGGATATAAAGCTATCTGATTTCCTAAATGCATGAAATACTTGTGTTTTATAAATTTATTAACTTCCTCATCGCTAGCGCGTTGTAGATAGGTTTGTATCACCTGTAAAATATCATGAGATACTGATGAAACATTTCATTCGCTCCGCGTCTTGATAGAAATGTTATGCGGTATATATTGCATTAAGAAATTATTTACCTTGATCAACGCTGTGCGTACACGAGTATCGGGATCATTAGCTAAAACTAATAGCAATTCAGCTCTTAAAACATGCTTCAACACTAATCCAACTTGACAGTCTGGTAACACTCTTACAGCATCTCTCAATAGTAACAACAGCCCTTCGCAGACTAAGCCCTGACACGCTCTTCTTTCATCCACGTATGTTGACTGCCTGTCCTAAATGCATAATAATGCAAGATTCGAATAAGTAATATGTAAAATTATATTATATAAAGATTTTATATTTTTCATTATACATACGTTGCTTAGAGGATTGGATCCATCACTACCTGCAATTCCGGAATCTTCTCCGGCACTAGTATTATCTGATAACAGCACATTTTTACGATCTTTCTTTTTAGGACTTCGTGATTTTTGAATCTAGAAAAGTGAATAATTGAAATATTGTAATATTCATGTAATGTTTGCAATCAAAGAAATTTTATATTGTAAAGGTCATACCTGTTCATTTGTCAATGCCTTGTTTAATTTGCTGTTCTCCACTATACCTATCAAATCATCAGAAATGACATTATCATTCCTTTTCGAATTCGTGTTCTTCTCTTTAAGTTGCGGTAACATAAAATAGATATTGTGTCGCGAATGAGTGACATAAGTCTCCGAGGCTTGATGAATGAGGACCAGATAATCGGTGATGGCGACTAAGTGAGCAAATTCCGGCGGTGCACCCATTAAGGCGCGCATCAGTTCCACAATAGCGATTCCGGTATTCGAGCTCAGTATGGTACTTTCTTCTTCATGTATTTCGTACATGAAATGTTCCTACAAAAGATAAGAGATGTTACTAAAAAATATATAAATTGATGTACGAGTATGTACAGATTGTTTTATTTACCTTACACAAGGTAAGAATCGTATCCACGATACCGACCCTGTTTAACTGTGATGCATTGAACTCACGATGCGAGTGTTGATCTCGCAATAAAAGTAGTAATGCTTGTAATAGTAAATTTAATGTATCATATTTCATCCACGCTCTCCACGCGGTAAGTGCGCCTTTGATCAGTCCCGGATCTGTGATAACAGCTTCGCAGTTTTGTGAAATTGAGTGGTTACCGCTGCCGATATCTTTGATGATGATCGAACTATCGCATGCCGCATCCAGCATCGCCTTCAGAATGTGTCTACCTGTGTGACATCTAGACGATTCTAGAACACGTAGAATAAGTGACGTTCCGCCGTCCGATCGATATTGATTCAAGAGTTCTGAATCGCTACGAACAAGATGCAGGATTATGGACAGAGCCAAAGCTTGTTCTTCCTCGGTGGAGTTTAATTCGACCACCTACAAGGATTCAAATGAATGTTTAGAAAATATATATGCAGATGCTTTAATTATTTCTTTTTTTAATTAATCTAAAAAGGTATTTACTCTTGCAAAAAGATATAAAAATACTGGTACACCACCCACTAAGATCGTCGCAGGCACAAGACCTCGATATTGCTGACTTTCTAAATGAGTAGACGTAATTGGAGATATCGATAGAGGTGGTTGTTGCGATACTCTGTGTTCTGGGACCGAAACGACTTTAAAACCTGGTTGGCCCAGGAAAATACTTCTTACAACAACTATAAAAATTATGGCAACAATCATAATATACAATAAAAAAATAAAGTACATAATTCATGATATAATAAAATGTTAATAGCATATCATAAGTAACTTACCAGCAGGATTAGCGACAGCTTGAGGATACAAATGTACGATACTGGGGTTTTGAGCCTCGTAACTGAGAAGTAAATTATCTTGCAGCTCGCTAAGATGCGAGTTTGTTGCATCCATTACGGCATCCCAATCGATTTTCGATTCTGATACTACTGTTTCGACAGCGCGCCTCAAATAAGTACCGCCATAAGACTTTCGTCGGCTTAAATCAAATTTACCACCTTCTACAATGTATAAGAGTAGATATTAAGAATTCATGTAACTACAATGTTAAACTGTTTAGTGTACAGTTACACATTTATGATTATTACATTAAAAATAATGTATTGCTAACCGTATTTTACTTCACGAATACCACTCAATGCGCCAGAAGCAATAAGAGGTGCAAAATCAGGTTTTGTCGTGTTTAGAATACAATCTGCCAAGTTGGTATAATTTGGTCCGAGACCTGCCAAATGCAATGCACGCTCTTTCGTAAATACTGGACATCTACGAACAACAATCATTTGAGATGTACAGATCTATTGTATATGAATTATTTAGATACTAAATAATAAAATAATGTACCTAAAAATCATTAAATTTCCGAGATACCACGCGCCAATACTGCTCGATCCGACTTGACCTAACAAAATACATGTAGTACCAGGCTTTCTTACTAGTAAACCGTCAAATGGTAATTGAGCATTAATTTCTTTCCAACCATTTACCCAGAGCGTAACTTCTACCACAGCACTACGCTTATTCAAGACAGTATCTTTAATGTTTAAGGTCAAGTGATGCCAGCATCCCGAAGGAAGCATGCCGTTTATCGAAGTTTCGGAGATCGTTCGATTTATCTTATCGTCCGGTCGAGTAAGTCGTAAAATTAATTTATCTAAATGATAAAATCAATGTCAGCATAAGCTTTCACTTATAATTAGCAAATTTTTAAAGTGAATCACCTGATTTGAGATCGAGCCAAGTTTCCAAAACCAGCGATTCGAACCCAATGGATATCAAATGTACTGATGTTGGCGTGAGTGTTGACACAGAACTTGTTATAACTAGAAGAAAAATCAGACATCGATATTTTTTTTACAATTTTATGAATGCATCAGAATAAGAAATGAAACTTATTGTTATAAGTAAATAAAACGACTCCTTAATATCTTAATGATACAAATATGCACAAAATTAGGAATAATAAACATAATCATTTTACATAATTAGTGACTGTTTCTTTTCTAAACAATACTAACCATCACGACTCCAATCGTCAGAAAGGATACCCCAGTCTGACAGACTCTCACTATCCGAATCAAGTAATGGGGAAGTGTTGTGGATAGTCGCACGTCCTCCAACTAGTAACCCTCTTTCTATCCTCAACCACATGGAAGCGGAACAACCGTGTAACCATACTGACCAAGCAAGTTCCGGCCCGATGGGCAAACACGTTGCATGTATGGACCATGGACTGCAAATTCCCGCAGCAAGATGCTTCTTTTTAAAATTATTCACGAGGTTCTCGACCTTCTCCAAATTCTTATGTTCCTCCGTCTGGATTTTCAGCGATGTTTTTGTGTTGTACGGCACGGGGAACGACAGGATGAAATTCGGCTGAGGTCGTGCGGTCAGCACCAAGTGATATAATGGCTCCAGCAACGGCAACAAAGGTGGTTTCTTCACTTTGAAAAACGACAGATATGCGACTAGTTCCGTCGGCGAAATTGACTGTGTCGCTAATAATGTAAAAACTTCCAGTGCCGCGTGCTGCAAGTCTGTAAAAATTCTCTATACAGTGTGCTAATATTTTATAAATATGTTAATATATTTGTTAAACTACCTCGATATCGCGGATCGTTATTTGTAAATACATTCTTAAAACCATTCAATATCTTCATAATAGTTCCTGAGGCCGAGAGGGCAGCACAACTTGAGACACTTTCTCGACAAGTAATAGTGATTCTTCGCAATCCACTAGTTATTATCGATCCTCTTTCTAAATCTAAACCTCTGTAAGAAAAGGATTTTATAAAGTAAAATAATGCCCATTAATATTTATATATTCGTAAAAGTGTTCAGGACTTACTGTTCGCTGAAATGAATTAAAAGATCTATTGCCAAGGAACATAAAGCAGGATGAGCATTGGCATGACCTCTCGGCTCTATTACAGGTCCAAGGAGATTGCTGCTTTTTTTCGGAATGTTAGTGTTAGTATTTTTTCCAGGCACTTCAATATCCGCTTCATATCCGTCGTCAGCAGTTACGTACTCGCCAGTACTACTGTCTTCCGCGCCGTAATCCGGTAGAGTCTCCAACGACATGGTTGGAAGCTGTAATAAAATAGTTACATTAATAAATTAATAAATATTTAGAATTCTTAATTTTTAACAATTAATATAAAGTTTTAAATTTACATTAATTATTAATTTAATTATGACGTACTCTGGGACGCGGTTGCTGCTGTATACTGTTTTCCTGTGCTGGCTTCAACATAGAAATCTTCAACACCGCGTCCACTATCATAGCTATTCCACGGCCAAGCATTATTCCGGTATTCATTAGTGTTTTTCTTAATTCCATGACTATGTCACAATCATCTACACCGTATAATATTCATTACACAAAATTGGCAATGGAATAAATTTCAATGAAGCGAATGATTAATATAATTCCACGCGTAATTAGATAACGTCACGATCAACCGAGATTTTAAGAATGACGTTTATCATCTGCCTACGATTCTTAAACTGTTTTTCTGACGAATAAACACGCGAAACATCTTCGGATTATAATGCCACAGCTGCATGAGCGACTATATAGGGTGAACAATTTCAAACATTTAAAATGGTCTAAATATCTCGAAAAAAGAAAATATAAAAAAAGTTATATGACGTGACAGGGCACAAATAAAATTAATTTTTTAAAAATCAATTTTTCACGGTCATATGAAAATTATCTCCGTTTTTTAATGGAATTATATAATTTTTTACATTATATGTGTGTGTGTGTGTGTGTGTGTGTGTGTGTGTGTGTGTGTGTGTGTGTGTG